CGACCAGCCGGCAGAGCCGCTCCGGGGACCTGGCGCAGGCTGAGCTCTGGCACCGCAGCGGCATCGTAGACGGTACAACCCACCATGTCGAACGACCGAAAACAAGTATGAGCAGAAAAACTTCATGAATCGCACTTGATCAACCTGCGAACAAACACAAAGCACTTGAAGTCAAAACTGAGCGACTGCTGAAAAGAAACAGTGCAAATCAGTGACTCACGATCTCAGACCCAACCCGGGGCGCCCTGCAGAAAAAAGCTTCACACTTTCTCAGCTGAAACGAGCAAGAATGTCCGGTCTGTTCCGATGCGCATGCTTTGTTTAAAACACTGACATCCGGAAGCGACCCTCCAACCGAGCTGCATTCCGATATAGTGAACTTATTACATGCTGTATGCTCAAGGTCTACGTTGGACAAACAATGGAACTTGTACTCATAATAACTACCTGGCGCCGGCTGCTTGATGAAGAACTCATCGTGAGAGAGTTCGTTCTCCGAGGCATCGATCAAATTGCCTCTTCGTCAGCAGAGGCAGGTTGAAAATCTTGAACAAGTTCCTGGACCAACTGTTTGACCATTTGAGCAGGTACTGAGGACCTATTCCGAGTGTACTTGAGGACCATAGGCCCCGGGTTCTTCCAGTTGGCCTGAAGTCCTATTTCCTCGGTCGACCGACCTGCGTGTACCGCGGCGTCGAGCAAGGTCACTCGGCGTGAATGCATGGTCAGCTTATTGATCTGCATGGCACAGTGAACAGCATCCTTCTTATCAAGGGTGTGACACTGATCCACCGCTTTTCGAGCGATGTACTTAAGCCACTGCAGAGACCTAGCATGTGAAGGGGGGTTCGGTCTTAGATTCGTCACGGGCATTAAGTTCAGGGACCCAGAAATCACGATCGGGAATTCCGCCCTCCGTGAACAGGTTCCACCCGAACTCCAACCACGACGACTCGACGAACCCAACCTTCGGAACCATGAGCCTAGTGCCGACCCTCTTACGTTCAACCTTCGTCTGCCAACAGACACCAAACAAACCCTCATCCTTCAGAGGGTTTGACATGAATGGCGTCATCAAAACGAAGAGAAGCAAAAATTGAACAAAGGAGCCACCAAATAAAAATCGTACCTTCTTTCGGTTCCGATGCGTCATGAACAAGCCACAACTCAAGTGCTTTCACCGCCGCGATCGGAATGGGAACGGCCTCTTTGAGTGTCCGTGCTCTCTCCGCCACCACCTTCGATTGAAGTGCTTCCCAGCGCTTGTCGTCCAGGTCCGGGGGATCGATCGCCAGGCGCGAGCAGACCCACCGAACGGCAGTTCGAAACGACGGGAGGACTGAAGGACCACACTCGGTAGAATCCAAAAAGAGGCCATACTTCAAAGCTTTGTCGATCGACAAGGGGTACATGTCTAACTCCTGGTGACTGGCCCACCTTTCGAACCTTTCAAAAGCTTGGATATAAGCAGCCATGGTGCGAAACGAACCAGTGACCAACACGAGCTGTCTGAGCTGCATCCGCTCCCCCGGAGAGCTTCTGAGCCAGCTCTCTGGCCGATCGCCTCGAGCCTCGCTGCCCACCTCCATTTCTCTTTGGTCTCCTTGTCGAGCAAAGGTGTCGAGGAAGACGATGCCTGAGCTTCGACGCGGGCGCGTTTGGGTTGATGAACCGGTTTATGGAACAGTGCTGTGATGGCCGCGTTCTTGCGGAGTGCAGCTGTCTTGTCCAGCGAATGCTCGACCGGCTTACCCAGTTCGCAAAGACCAAAACCCAATTGGAGAGCAGTCGACTCGAAGTATCGTTTCTCGATCGAGCATGCGAGAGCCCACAGCTGTTCCAGCATCCCTTCTCTCCCTTGAAAAAGGTTGAAGACACTAGGATCCAGCTGTCGCGCGACGTCCAGGGCCTTGTCTGCGAACTCGTGCCCCGAGCTCACCTCCATGGCGCTGATAAACGCCACATTGCACAATGGTGTGGCGGTGACCGCCTGGCGAAACTCCGATCGAATACGGGGAGAGCTAGGATCTTCGAGATCCATCTATCCGGAGCTTGGGCCATGGTCGCTTCTCGAGCGATGTACTCTTCATGTGGGTCACAGGGAGTGAACACGCGCGGGAACCGCGGAACCGACCGGCCAAAGAAAACCAAACCAACCGACCGTCCACCCGAGTTCACTCCCGTCCCACCCCTGTGAGAGCCACTGAGCCCCCCCCCTGCGCATCTGAGTGTACCGACCTCACACGGTGCCGCCGATCGGCGAAGTTCGATCAATGTTCAATCAGTGAACACTCAAAGCAGTCAGAGGTTGGCGAACAAATTATCACATCAAAACAAGTTGAACAAATTCAACAACAAAGCTGCACAGCTATCAACGGAAATGAAAAACTGCATGCACTGAACAGTTCTTGAGACAGACATCAGACCATGGTTGTTAGAGCCTCACGGCATCATACAACCCGGTGAGCGACCGTCTCTGAGACCCCAAAACTTCTCTCTGAGAATCTTGCCTCACGTGCACGAGCGTGCGATCGCACGTCTAAGAGTCCGATCGTCCGGCCGAACGGTGCCGAAAAGAAAGCCGCATCACACTCGCACGACTGAACCCTTCAAAAACAAAAAGAACGTTTCCAACGTTTCCCCATCATACAGAGCTCCAGGCTCTCATGGGCTGATTCGACCGAGCTGGCTGATCAAACGTCTGTGACGTTCGGATCGTCTTTCTTCGGTCCGAAACTCACTGGCCTTCCCTCTGTGCTGGGGGCCTGTGGGTCACCGATCGAGTTCACCTCTTCAATGGTCACCTTTGTTGACCAAGTGCTTGCCGGATTCGGCTGCCGAGGATATGGGGCCCGAGCCATCTCCACGAAGGCTTGAGGAGTCATGGCCGACGAATCGATCCCGTCTGCCCTCCTCTGCTCCAAGGTCCTCCGAGCAGGTGCCAATGACTGACCTTGCCATGAGCTAGGAGCCGGTGCCTGGCCCGGGTTGGTCAGCGATGGCTTTGCCGAACTCACCGGAGCTGCAGCGACAGGATCCATCTGCTTGGGCCCATCCAAGTAGTGCATGGGCATCCTCTGATCAGCAGGCCTCACGGAAGGTCCGTCTGAGAGGGGCGGCACGACCGCTGCCAGCACTTCGTCCAGTGGGTCATGACATTGAAGGGCGAGCGCCTCTGCTCGAACCATCACCTTCTCTTTGCGGAACAGCGGGCTCTCACTGATCAGATGCAAGTTGATCGGGTTGGACTCCACGGCGATAGCGGAAATGCGAGCACCCGTCTCACTCTCCTCCTGGGCCTCAGTGGCCGCCGTCCAATGTGCATGAACAGCAGCAAGCTGGGAGAGTTGGAGTGCCTGATCAGGGCACTCGACCCTCGCGCCATGCTCGCGGATCCAGCGCACGTTCTTGATCAAAGTCGGTCCCGACACCCTGCTTGCGACCAGCCAACTTGGAGGAGCCTCCATGATGCTGCATGCAACGTCAAGGCGATCGCCAGCGCTAAGGAATCTAAATTCCAATCTGTCCGCATCCATGCCGAACGAGTCTGGTGATGACGTCGCTACGAAGCGGCATTCAGCGTGGCAAAGAGGAAAATCTTCACTGCATGCGTACAGGCGACCGCCAATCTCCCATGAGCATGCTACCACGCGCCACCCCTGGAAGATTGTGACCACAAAGGACGGGGTAAAACACGTTTCCGAAAGAATCGAATGAACTGCGTCTGAGACGTGACACAATTGCATCGTCATATCAGAATCTGAGCGATAGCCCCGCAGTTCCAGGTGGATCAACAGGTGACCTTCCAACTTGACCTTGACGTCGACCCATGTCGGTGACCGATCGGTCATTGGCGGCCACCTGAACGGCTGAAAGGCCGCGTGCGACAGAACTGCTCCTGTCATCGTGTCCCACCGAGCGGCCGGGACACTGCCATACGAAGTCATCGAGCAGCATACGGTCAACTTCACACCGTCCATGGTCCTGACCAAAAACAGGTTGCAGTGATAGCCATGGGACGGCGCTCTCACCATCTGCCGATCGGCCTTCACATTGATGTACGACAGAGCATTGGTCAAAATCTCATCGAGCAGCCATTCTTGGAAAGGAGATTGTAGTCGACGATCACGTCCATCAACGATCTTGACTGATCGCTCGTCTGGCCCTGCCCCCACCTGTGAGATGTGGTCTGGGAGAGCGGCATTCATGGGATTCTGAGCCAAGTTCCCTGGAGCCATTCTTCCCCATCTGAACTTCTTCTTGCCCCTCTTGGACGCCCTTTCTTGATCATGGCGTAGCTTCCGAGCAGCTGGAGTCTCATGAGAATGATCAAGGAAGCCACGAGCTGCTTGGTTCACAGGCGCTGAGGAGCTAGCAGCTGGGTCAGCAGCAGGAGCTGCTTTGGCTGGAGCCGCTTTGGCTGTCTGAGCAGGCTGATCCCCATCTTTTGTTTCCTCCTCAGGAATGGAAGGCGGAGCCGCCTTCGGAGGTGGAGGAGGCGGCTGAACATGTGGCAGAGGGAGCCCTGCTGGAGGGAGATCATCATCCTCTTCCCATGGATCCAGTCGTGTCCATGAGGCCACTGAGGAGCCATCGTCCACTCGAGCGGCTGCAAGGGCCATCTGTTTGGCGAGCGCTGCAGGAGGGAACCTAGACATCCTGACCACAAACACCCAGGCCCTGACCACTAATGAGGAAAAATCAGAGCTGGGGTTTGTGGCTTGATCAGCCTTGAGCCAAAATGGCACATAAACATAAAATGACTGAAAGGCCTCAAGATCACTCACATGCTAAGAAGTTACTCCCCTGTACCAGCCTACCTGACCGTCAACATGGGACCCCCCTCGCATCCCTGGGAGGCATGTCTCAAAAGCAGTGGGAAGTATCATGAAAAGCTTCCCTTCTTCCTGCGTTCTTTTGCTATATATTTAATATGCCGATCTTGTCACCCGAAGCTATCTTCCGCAGACGTCAAACTTCCAACTGTCCTTCCAAGTAACCGCGTGAGTCCAGGCCAATGGCACGCTGCATTGGATTCAATGGAGCACGGCCAACCATGGACTCGGCTTCTTCGAAGGTCACCTGGATGGAGGCAGAAGAAGCCAACGCTGGGCAAAGCACAACCATCTGAGAACCACCGTTTACAACTGTCCAGGACCATCCCGGCCTGAAAGTAGTCTGCCGAAGCTTCCACGTACCACTTGTATGTCTCTGGATCCTGACAGCCAGATTTCCGCCGATGTAAACAAAATCAAGCAACTGGATTTCGTGGGCAAGATGAGAGCCGAGAGGGTCAGTACGCCAGCTATTTCATTCATGTTGTGAAATTATTTTGTCTCCTGCATGAGGCTTCCAAGGCTGGCTGCGACATCTTGCCCATCAACACCCTGAGAGCTGTGACGTTGATCATTTGCACGCGCGTGCTCAGTTCCACGACAAAAGTCAACACAAGAGACAGGAATAAAGCCTCCAGATTGGGACCTGCCCTTGTCTGGTGCTTTACGGTCGAACAGCAAACCTGTGAAAATATTCAAAGGTTGTTAGTTGTGCTATTTTACCATCAATTTGAAAGGAAGCGCGTCCCATGCTTGCTTGCTTCCACCAACAGCGTCTCTTAACTTCTTTAGATTCAACTTCACCTGGCTGGTATCGGGCTGGTATGTTTCTTGTTTGCTTTGTCTTTGTCATCTGTCTCGTCCTTTTGATCCTTCGAGAACATTGTTGCTATAATTAGTCTTGACATTTCAAGAGGTCAGGCGCAGTAGGTCCGGTGCAAATCTTCAAAGCTTCCGCAAACACTGTTCAAGATGTTTTAAGCATCTATGTTGCCACTCAACCGCAATCACTATAAAAATCCGCCCGCACCGAAGGTGCTCAGGGCGTGATCATCCGGATGGCATAAACAACTGTAAAGTACAGGTTTACCGGGGGGGCCTATTTTGTTGCCAAAAACATGAGTGTTTGATAGGTCACGACGGCGGACTTCAAAAAACACTGTTTTTTTTTTGCAGCACGGAATGGACTAGTTCGTGGATGCGCCCGCCCGGAACCGGCAAGAGAAAAGTTGAAAAAGACACCTGTGTTTTTTGACTGTTGGTCTTCGCTTTTCGGTTTTGAGAGTCCATGTGCCTTGTCGGGAGGCCGGGGGGCCAGATTTTGTGATTTCGGAGCTGTTTGGGTGATGGTTTCGCCGTTTTTGTTGAGCAGAAACATTGGTTTTTGCAGTGATTCTGTACATTGCCGAGGCTTGAGTTCTTTGCGCGAAAATATAAAAATTAGAACTCGCAAATAGCAGTGCTTTTGGCGACCATGTTGTTGAAAACGTCGCACATTGTGGTGTTTTTTGATGGCAGGGCTAGGGCACACTGTAAATAGCGGTGTTTTGGGCCACGGCAAGCTCAAAAACATCGCTATTTGCAGTGGTTTCTGCCTCACAAAGCATAAAAACACTGTAAAATACAGTACGTAGTGGCATTTTTGGTAACGTCAACCTCAAAAACCTCGCTATTCGCCGTTTTTTGTTGGGCAACTGTTTCATCGCGGTGCAGGCGGACCTTGCCGCGGAGCGGCGTGAATACACTCCATGGCAGATTGCACACCTAGACCCCTCAAACGTCCTTGGGCTGATGAACATCATCTTGATAGCATTGGCATCGATGCAATTACATTAGGCTGCACGCCCCTTTTCTCACCCCGCATCAACAATCTTCATCATGACACCCAACGTGATTGCATACAGAACGAAAACACTTGCAGAGCCTCCAGCTACTTCACCTATTATTTATTGCCGAGAACCAAATCACCTAATCACAAATAACAAACTGGCTTGGCAAACCTGCCTGGTACAGCCGCATTTGTGTCAGTGCCTTTTGAAAACCTGCAAAAGAACAATGGACAGCAAACGTACAGTATAAGTAAAGCTTGGGGGAAGCTCAGCCGCATTTGCTCACACTGCCCCTAGACTTTGGGCATGAAAGGCTGCCCTACACATGTCCGACCTCCAGAACCATGGCTCTGTTGGAAGGAGGACCGGGCTCTGTTGGACAACTTGTGGCAACATAACAGCTGTTCCGATATTCCTGAAAATCTGCCTTGCTTCAACTATTTGCGCAGTATGGAATTCACAGCTGTTGCTTCATGAGCCTTCCACATCTTTGTTGGCAACGGAGGTGGCAAACTGACCTGGCCAAATCTGCTGCGTGACCTAGCCGCTTTGAGGCTTCTTCCACTCGAAACAGGTGGCGCACTTAGCAAATCAAGTGCTCGTTGACGATGTGGGGATTTGTGGGCTTCTCTCTTGGCCTTAGCTAGCAGGCAAAACAGAACAAAACTATATTATAACGATGTTTGAGACGATAGCAGTAAAATCTGCATTGGTCTGAGCAAATGAGATGTCACCTTGAACAACCCCCCCTATTTGGAACGGAAGAGCAACCCAACTCCAATGCTTTTTCTGGGGCTGTGGCCGTATAGATGTGCGACAGACTTTTCATGGCTTCTGCCTCACCTTACCAACACACTTCCCCTTACCCAGGGAATCCTTGCTGTCGTAGCTTGGTTCACCTCAGGTGCCTGAGATTGCCTGAGCTTACTGCCGCACTGGTCCCCCAATTCTTGGAAGATTGTTTGTGCCTGCACAATCTGCTGGGGGATCCCTTCCATTCGCAGCACATACAGCAAGCAGTCCGTTCGCTGCCACGATGTAGGCCAGCGGACATATTATCAACGCATCAACCCACTCACAATGCCGCACAGTTTGAATGCGATGCAGCGATAACATCATGAATACTGACAAGCCAAGCTCTGCCTCCTGGGCACAAAGCAACGCCTCTTCATAGAGCTTCATGTCACTACGGACCTTAAGTTGTCCAAAGGCTGCATTCTGCTCACACCTAACGAACAACTCGAACCATTTTCTGTTTTGTATCGTTTACTTGTTTGATGTGGCCACTTCGCCTCTGAGAGCTTGATCAACATCCAGGCTTCTTCATGCCTTGAGATGAGCAAAACCGGGGTGGTTGGTTCACGTAGTGCGGGCAATGCTTAAGTGGAGCGTGAAAGACTATGTATAGAACTGGCACAGTCTATTGGAGTCTATGGCCAACTTTTGACAAGTGCCCTAGTGGCCTGTTGCCCAGCTGCTGCGTTATTGCCAAGACTTCTTCGGCCTTGGTATCGTCCGTCATGCTCGTGCGGTTGTTTGGAAGTACAAACTGAAGTCGGAATATCAATTGAGCTGTCGGATAAACATGTCCACCAGACGAGCTCTAGATTCTAATGATTCAATATTCGTTCCATGAGCTTTGTACTGTTGCCAACGCTTCATCTTTCGCACCGCATTCCTCTGAGCTCAAGTAAGAAAGAACCTGTCGTACTTCAGATTTTGACTATGCCGGGTCCTGGAGCACGGTGACGCAACCCTGCCCTGTTTGAGCAAGAGCCGAAAGCCTCACACGTCAAAGTGGCCGTTCAGGCCGTGGTTCCTTGATGAAATTGAAGAAGTAGCAAGTGCAAGTGCTTAAAACAACATGTTGCCAGGAAAGCCTGTTGTCTTGGCGTAATTCCTGCATGCGGGTTTGCACCATCTGCAAGGCATCCTTGGTCAAGGTCTGGTGGTCAGGCCACGTCTCTGGTTGAAAACGGTACTATAGGAAACAAACTAGTCTAGCAACCTGAGGGAGAAGCAGAAGTGAGTCCACGAACAATCATTGCTTTGGCCACTGCAGTCATGGCGGTGGCCTTTTGCAAAACACCACCCAACACTGAAGCAAATGCCCAATAGACCAAGTTTGTTGCTGGCAGCACTGGCAGTATGTACATGCATCGCCCGCCTCCCCCTTGTAGTTGCCAATCTCTTTCCAAATGGACACAGCCTGTGGCTTGCAGAGTGGCATAGGTTCAAGCCACAACTCACAAACCTCCTCTGCAAGCCATGTCAGTGAGACCTCCTCCGCCGTTCTTTGCGCCACAGCTCCTGTTCCGGAAGCGAAACGCCACTGGAAACAGGAGCAAGGCACAGAAGAAAAAGAGGAAGCGGAAGAGGAGACGCACAAAATCACACGTGTACGGTAAGATCAAGGCTATTCGGCATAGCTGCTGTGTAGCGCTAGGTGATTGAGGGATAAATTACATAAACGGACAAGTGAAGATGGAAGTGGATACGTAAGTAATTAGGTAGACAGACGGACGGACAGACCCACAGACGGACAGACGGACCAGACGGACCAGACGGACCAGACGGACCAGACAGACAGCCTAGCTAGCAGCTAGATAGCTAGATAAATAGATAGATAGATTATCTGTCTAAAAACGGATTGGTAGTGGTTTTTGAATAGTTTGATAGTGGGATATATAAGCTTGACAGGGCTGATACGCGTGGTCACTCAACCCTCAAAATGAGAAATCCGTGATGCCACGCTACTAGTAACAGGTGCCTTACTAGTAGTAACAAGAAGCTATTAGGAAGAAGTGAGTACTGGATCCCAGGAACACAGGCTCAATCCCTGCTGCGCTGCAATTGAATATTGACGTTCCCAGTGTACAAAAATATAGTAGAATAAAAAAGTAACAAATATAATGAAGAATGCATGTAGTGCATGCGTGTCTGGATTGCAACCCTTGCATCATGAAAACCGTGATCTGCTGAGATCAGTTGGTTGAGAAAGTGTTCTGTGCATTCTGCTGGCTAAATGGATCCAAGGAAACGCTCTTCAAATAACTTTCTTGTGCGTGAGTGATGAGGGAAAGGTGTTCCACGAGACCGGACCTTCTCAAGAAACTGCCATGGCTTCTCATGCACTGGAACACTGCACACCTCCGTGAGGTTGGAAGCGCTGTCGTTCTGAGAGGCTGTAAAGCACGGAGGCCTCAAGAAAAGGTCTGGCTTGCGCAACTCGTGTGTGTGCTCATCCCTCTGGCCTCGTACCGCTTCCAATTAAGCTCTTTGTACAAATCGAGGGCTTTCGCAAGCGGCTCCATGAGGTTGCCTCAACAAAATTGGAGGCGAAGTGGAACCGGTCAGGTTTGAACTGGGACATGGCCTCCACCCACAGACCGTGCAGCTGAAAGAAGATGCCAGGCCTTCGTTGATACTACTGGGGTGAAGAGTTGCATCAGCGACCGCAGTCTGACCAGCAAAGACCCCTAAGCTCCAGTCAACCGCAGTACCGCCCTTATCTCCAAGGTTCTGCCAAATGGTCAGAACCTGATGGACCACACCCAAACACACAGCATGAAAATGCAACAGGAGACAAGAGACTAAAATGTTTGCGTGAGGCCTCTTCGGCTAATCGTTCGCTTTCAAGTCCGTCACATTCCTCGCACTGTTCAGAATCTATGGAAGGCAAGCAGAAACAATGACATGGAAGTGAGGCTCAAGTTGCAAATCCAGTCCTGAATGCAAGCTTGCAATATTGCGGCTTTGCATTTGGCAACATATGGCATCTTGTCCAGCCTAAGAAATTGTGAACTCAGTCAGTAAGTTGCGTCTGTGAGCTGAGCATGTGCTCATCAAACGAAACAATAGAAGATAATATTGAATCGTTTTGGAGCAAGCTGCCCCCATTACGCAGCAAAGGTACTGTTGGAAAAGCTGCGCGGCCTGTCCCGCATGTTCCTGAGGGCAAATGCGCAATGATTGGAACCCAAATTGCGAAGCGCAATACTGGTTGCCAAAATCAACACCAACGCCGCAACGCCTTCAGTGCAGCAGTCTTGCCAAGTGCAAGCATCAGCTCTGCCCACATGAGGTGTGCATAGGCCTGCAGTGTCATCGTGCAAAAACACGAGGGTCAGGGTCGACAGCAGTCTGCGAGTCTGCGAGTCTGTGAATGCCAAGCGTCGGTGAAAGATAGCAAAAGCACTTCTGACTTGCCAAGCCTGCATTTGTGGACTACCTCCCTTGGCTGCTTCAAGTTGGTCACTGGCCAAGCTGATGGCAGCCTGCACTAAGCTGATGAGCGCACCTATGTAATGCACAACGCTTGCTTCATCTGTTTGTCCTCACCTCAACGTCTCCGGAACTGAAGGTCGCACTAACCTGCAAAGGACAAAGTGCACAACGTACGAAAAAGGAATTATATAGCTATCAGGTGTTAAGCAATCGAAGCTTTGCATATCTTTGCATCAACTATGCCCAGAATGTTTGAGCTATGTTCTTCTCTTCAAGGAGCTTCACCAGGTCAAACAACCTGAGGCTCAAGCCACTAAGCGTGATGCATCAGCTGCATTATCCAGTTCCGCTGCTGCATCAAAAGCACTTGTGGCCCGCCTCAGCTTCAATTTTCCTTAAGTGTTCCTCAAAACTCATCAAAGCTGTATGTAGTCAGTACAGTAAGCTGAGGGCGTATCCTTGCAAGGTCTAGTGCCTCTTCTGGTTCCGACTCGAGTATGTCTAAAGCTCTTCTGAGCCACCTGCTGTGTCAAAAGCATCACACATCACATCCCACCACAGGTTCCAATGTACGCTGCTTAGTAGTTCCTACGTTTTTGCTGGTTTTGCAGACTGCGGATTGCTGATGGGGCGCTCTTCTAGAGGAAATGCCGGGTTGTGCGGATGGTTACTATCACAGATTCATACTCAGGCTCAGTGTTGTCTGGCACATGCGATCTGGTGAGCCTCATAGTGCAAATTCAACAAGCAAAAAAAGAGCATGTGTCTTCATGACTAGCACAGGACAATTATATGTCCTCAAACAAATTACAACACATTACAACTTATAACTTATATAATATCTTTGTTAATATATCTTTTTAAATATACTACAGTACCCAGCTTCAGCTATCCCAACGAACCTCTGAGCTTCCAGGTTTGTGCCAGTGAGCTGCGTCACGCTGCCAAGCATCGACATTGCTCACTATGTTGAAGCAGAACCACATTACCCTGGACTGGCTGGCATGCAGAGAAAATGTGTATATATATATATATAGGAGTCTGGCTGTTCATCTTGTGTTTGTGATATGCACTGCTGCACATCACAACTGAGCGCTAGTTCTAGGCACAGGCAGTTAATCGATCAATCAATCATATTGTGCAATTGTGCGCAGAAACTCGTACCTAGGTAGTAGAACATGTAACTTATATACTATTGTAACACTCATCTTCATAGCTTGAGGCCAACTCAACAAAGCCAAATAAAAGCATCTCAAGGATTCATTGCTCCTCTTGATGATAGTTTGAAGACATTCACGGCAAAGAGCCTTCTGGATGGCATTCTTTAGAACTTCAGACCCTTTGGCTCTCTTCGCCGGGCAAGAGGCAAGCAAGGTTCCGCCGTGCAAAGACTCATTAGTTCACGTTGCTGTGAAACAATTTGCATAGCCTCATTTCGGCAAGCACAGCTTCACCTTAGCTGAATCGTTCGGTCAAAGAAGTCCAGCAAAACCACATGCAGGCAAGATGCTGCTAAGTCCTTCAGTTCTATGTACAGCTTGTCCTAAATTGTCTTGCAAGATTTCGAGATGGTTGTGTTCAGAACTTCTGCTTGCAGGGAGCACGGGGCTAATGAAAACGCAGTCCTCCCGACCCCACCGCAGAGCAACCTCACGGGAAGGCAAGAGGAACAGAGGGCGCGAGGTGACCAGCACATATGAAAGTGGCCACATGAATATGGCACGGCAAAAGTGCTGTTGGACTAGCAAATACTGTGTGCGTGAATTTGTGTTCAACAGTTAGAAATGAAGTTTCTTCAATATGTCAAAGTTATCTTCCAAGAGGCATCAAATTTCAGATTGATTGGCTCAGTGAAATCTGTCAGTCGAGGATCCTCCTGGTGCAAACGACATCAAGACAGCCCGTTCTTCAGACTTGAAAAATTCGTTTTTTTGGCCTCCCGCCAGTCGTAGTCATGGGGAAGACTTTGCGCTTTGACTGCATTGGCAATCTGATCCTTTGCTGACAGAGGTCAGGTCTTGCACACAAGCCAAAAAGTACACAATGTCCACTCATGGAAGGCAGTTGATCATCCGCAAGTCGAGTCGAGCATCAAGCATACCATCAATTATCACCGCTTCAATTCCAGTGACCTTACTTGCAGTCGTATCATGTCCCCTTACTGTAGGTCACCTTCTTGATGTGGCAAAGTATCGTGTTAAAAAGAAATATATATATATATTATATTATATATATTATATTATATATATTATATAATATATATAAGTATATATATATATTATATATAGTTTTTGTTATATATATATAGTATGTATATATATATATATCCACCTTAGCGAGGTAAAACGACTCAGCTTTGGACGTAGTGATGATTCTGAAACTGTAGCCAAAGAACCAGCATTACCCTATCAAATGGTCAGTGAGTCAGTGCACGGGTGATCACAGTGTCTGCATCTTCATGCCGGATGCCGGTCACATGCCCCACCTGATCTCAGGAAGCCAAAGACCACTGCTGTAGTTCCCTGCTGGTAGCTCAATCGGAATGACCTTGGACACATTTACCATGTCAGAAACAAAGAAAGAATCAGTATGAATGAAGCTTGGTCACCAATGGCACATGTTGACCATCAAAGGACGCGTTCAAGAATCCTGGCAAGCGACAAGTTTCTGCCACGATAATCCGCGGGCAAAACCAGAAGGGTGTCAATGAAAACAAAGTTTCGACGTTTCGGAACGCCTTTTCTCCCTTGAGCCAAAACACGTCAAGAGTCACGTGTCTGCAGTACCCTAGCGGAGTATGTATGGGCTGTACATACAAACACTCCTCCTCTTGCAAAGCACTGTACTGCTGCGCAAGCTTAAAAGTAAACATGTGAAACTCTTCGCTGCTTAGCCACTTTCAGTTGTGGTAGTGGAGCTTGGCCAGGGACCTTACTCCAAAACATCTAACTGTCCTTTGCTTCGCTTGCTGAGAAATGCATATTGCAGGTCCTCCATGGTTTTGCGAAGCTGCACCCCAGGAACCGATTTGGTCAAAACATCGGCTTTGTTCTTGAGACCTGGAACGTGGTGCACTTTCAAGTGGCCCTCGGCAACCCTTTCTTGCAACCATAGGTAGCGAGTCTGGATGTGTCTGGCTTTGCCCAAACCCACTCTATTCACAATTCCTTTGGCTGCATTGGAATCGCCCTCGACGGTGACTCCCAAATCCAAACCAAGGTCTGCGCATAGGCTTTGGAGGCCTAAGCCCACAGATCCTCGCTTCACAAGTGCGTAGTATTCACTCTCACCTGTAGAAAGGGCTACAGTGGATTGGATGTTACTACTGTGTTTCAACACGCGCATGCCGTACATAGCAACCATGCCAGTCGTGCTTTTGCGCGTCACAGCGTCACCACCATGGTCGGCATCGACCTGCACCCTCAGCCTTGAGGGTGTCTGCTGCGAGCCAAAACATTGCCCAACATCAGGGCATTTCTTCAAGTACCTGATGAGACGCTTCAAGTCAGCAAGTTTGGCTTCTGTTGGTGATACCATACCTCGAGCAAGGTTCTTGACTGCGTGCCCAATATCAAGTCGATCTTGGGACAAGTATGCAGCACGCATCGTTGCTGAACGATACTTTGATGCCTCGCTCTTATCAAGCAGCGGACTGCGGCTTTCCAGCATCTGCTGATCTGCCGACTTCTTGACATCTGGTGATTCTACACCATTTGCCTTCTCCAGACCAAATGCCTGGATCAAAAGATCAACATGTCTCCGATCGGCTTCGATCACAATTGATCCTTTGCCGTTCTTCTTTTCGACTCGGATCAACCGATTCAGGAAATGGGCTTCTGTTCGGTCTCCATCCTCGTCTCCAAGAATTCCGAGACATTTCAGCTCATAGGCATCTTTGAGGACTTGGCTGAGCATCTCCAAGTGTTGAGCGTCTCCAAGCGCTAGGAAGTCATCTCCATGCACCATCACTCTGACGTCCCAAACTTCTTGGTAGAAGACTGACGCATTTGACAAGCCTCTGCGGAAACCAGCTTTCTGCAGAGTCTCTGTATAGTGCGTCTGCCAGATATTTGGAGCGTCCTGTGTTCCATACATCGACTTCACGAGAAGTCCACAGGTCTGCCCATCATTGCTGGCTTCGTCCTCTGGCGGCAGCTCTATGTAGATCTTTCTCTTTGGAGTTCCATAAAAGTGTGCTCGTGAGATGTCCCACAAGCCCAGCTTCAGCGGCTGGTTGTGGCAGGACTTGCTCTTTGTTGCCCACAACGAGCACAGCAGTCTCATCGCCTCCAATGGGGGCGTGCTGCTGAAAAGCAAGTTGGCTGGCAATTGCTCTTCTTTGGTCTTTCTTGCCTTAATCTCACGCACAACTAAACGGCTCCTATAGTTTGGGTTGGTTGGGTCTCCCTTGTTGGTGTCCAACCATCTGACTGGAATCCCGTTTCCTCAAAACATTCGGCTCTCGGCCGGGGCACATAAACACAATGCTTTTCTTTCAAATAATCCATTTCAAGGCGTCTTGCCTCTTTCACTTTCTCGGCTGCCGTTCACATCATCCATGTAGACTTCTTCGAACTCAGGGTCCATCAGAGGCATCTCTGGAACTGGGCCTGCTGCAAACAAGTCAAAGGTGTTCAACTCACCTTTCTCGGCTAGTGTGTCACGCAGGTTCCTTAGTACTGCTTTCACGAGCGGCGGTGGGTATACCGCTGCTTGCCTTGCAATGCCTCCGATCAGATGGATGTGTCGGTGCCATGGTCCTTTGCCCGATTCATTCGAGCAGACTCCTTGCAAGACTTTGGCCAACCCTTCATCGTTGGTCATCCAACCGGTCTCCTTTCTCACATAGCCGGTGCCTTGGAGTCCTCTTCGGTCGGTGGCCATCATTTGCCACCTGCACATTGGACCCTTCACTATGAACACTCCATCTTCCTCTGCTAAGGCCGCGACTTTCTCATCCTTCCAACTGGTCGCGGACCAAGGTGCCTCGTGGAGGAATTTTCTCCCTGAGCGATGCTGCTTGACATACAGCTCTACGCTCGTATGGAGATGGTGGACGGCTTCGTCCATTTTCCTCCTCCGGACATCCGGCGCCATGCTTCTCCAGTTGAGGCTCTGGAGCTGTGAAAACATATGGCACGGTGGCGAACCAGTCAAAAGCGCCGGTTCGTCCTTCTCAAGGATGTCATGCACTTCTTGAACATCTTCAGGCTTGTTCAAGTCCCAGTATGTTCCATCACTTTTCATTTCATTCAAGTCGATCGCAAAACCCGGTCGCAACTTGTAGCGCTCTGCAAGCGCAGTGAACCTCTTGGGCGAGTAGATCTCCATGATATCTACTGCTGACATCTGCATGCTCAAATGAGCGAAGTCTCCGATCTCTTGCTCAGAGATCTCGATGTCATTCGCCTCATAGGTTCCTTGAATGATCTTCTTCAGATGCTGCTTTGCGATCTCCTTCTCTTTTACCAAGCTGGCTGCATCTGGCCTCCACCCTGCTGGTGGTGTTTCTGGAACATGTGAAAACTGAGACGTTTTCTTTGGACTCTCTTCCACTCTGGGATCAAGGTCTTCTACGGCGGTCTCTGCTGACCTCTTTGTTCCTTGAACTGGATTCGGCTTGACCTTTGCCCCAGGTGGATCTATCCGAAGTTCTCCTGTTCTCTTCTTGGGCTCTGTTGCTACCTTGGCTTTTGCCACTGGCTTCTTCTCTATCTCGGCTGCTTGCCTCTTCATCTCATGTCTCTCTTTCGGGTCATCGGGATAGGTCTTCTCACCCTCTACCGCTGCTGGCGGCGGGCTCCCCGACCCTGCGCTCTTTGCTTCTTCTTTCTTCTCTGGTTCTCCGGCCGCGTCTTCGGCCATGATGTCAGTGTCCTTATCGGCCACGACTTTCGGCTTCACAGTGTCAAGCTGTTGCCGTTCTTTCCTCTTCTTTGCATGGGCTTCAAGTCTCGCTTGCCCAGCTTCATCCTTTTCCATTGCTTCGGTGATCC